CCCAGCCCCACGGAGGGTGCCCAGCAGGGTTTGGGTGCAGCTCCCCAGCCAGGTTTGGGCTCCGTCCCCCAGCAGTTGGGGTCCCCGCAGTCGGGGCACAGTGGGGGGGGGGTCACTCGAGGCAGACATGTCCCTGCGAGGGGCAGAGCCCAGGGGGCGGCAGGCTCGAGTGTTCCTAAAACAGGAACCCGCGTTATCCCCAGTTTGTGTCAGCAACTGGTTTTGGTGAGCAACACTTGGCATCTGAGTGCGAGCGAAGCGTCACCTGAGGCACTTGCGGGTCCCTCGTCTGGAATAAATGTCTTTAGCTGTGACATATTTCCAGTGGTGCGGCCTCCTCCTGCCTGGTGAAGGATGCTCTGCCCACACCAGGGCATTGTAAGGTGTGAGCTGTCTCCCCTCTGCCCCACATTCCCCACATCACCCCCTCTGTCGAGCTGTCCCATGGGTGCTGTGCAGCCCTAACACGCTGCTCTCGGGGCTCCTCTGGCACCAGGATTCTCTGACAAAACAGTTATTCTCTGACAGCTCAGTGACCTCTCGCTCAGAGGGAGCTGTGCCACCCCAGCACCACCCCCCCACGTCAGCACCCCAAAGCTGTACTCAGGGGATGTTCCCAGTGGATTTTTGTTTGGGGTTTGTTTGGTTTGTTTTACTTTCAAAAATAACCAAATAACTCTTAAAAACACAGAAACCGACTTAAGGAAATATTGTCACTGGGCAGAAGCTCAGTCTCAGCAGTGGCTCTTACAGGAATCACCCCCAGGACCCAGCACAGAGGACACACTCCCTATCCTCGTGCAAAGCAGTAACGAAGAGGCTTTAAGGGGATTTAAGTCCTTGGAGCAACATTTTCTTACCCCCTCTGCAAAAGCCAGCACTTACCTGCCAGGCTGAGCAGGCAGGGGCTGAGGAGCCCCCCAGGCACTTACCCTGAAGTCGATTCCAACCGTGGAAATGAAGCTGCCGGCCAGGAAAGCGCCGTCTTTGAACCGCACCAGCAAGCAGGTTTTGCCGACCCCTGAGTCGCCCACCAGCATCACCTGCGACCGAGGAGGAGGAGGAGGGGTCATTAGACACGGTGTTTTGGGAAGGAAGCCCCACCACAGCTGGTACCTGCTCCATCCCAAAAGGCCCATCCTGGGAGCAGGCAGCAGCTCCTGTATTCTTGAGGGAAACGAGCACGTGCAACAGCAACAGACCCTGTCCAGTACTGAACAGATTCCCCGTGGGGGCACAAACATCCCCTGAAAACCAAGAAGTGCTGTCTAGGCAAGGCAGGCTGCAACCCGATGGCTGCAGGGCCCTCGCAGTCCCCAGCGCACCCATCAAACACCCCATACCCACCATGGGGGGGCTTTCCGGGAGGGTGCCACTGCCCACAGGGAGACTTCAGGGGGTCTCCCAACCATAAGCACTGACTCCAGGGGTGCCCTCTGTGAGCAAACACCTTCAGCGTGACATGCACAGCCTCACAGCCACCCTCCCAGTCCTCGGAGTTGCCGAGAGAGCAGTTCCCAGTGCTGCCTGCCTCATTTTCCCTACCCAGCAGCATCTCTGGGTGCAGATGAGTCCGGCACCCACTGTGCCACAAAGAAACCACAGCAGAGCCAAAGCTGCTCCCAAACGCAGCTCTCCAGAGCCTCTGCTCAAACCACAAGCCCTCCCAAGCCCTCTGACCCCGCTCCCCTCAGCAGGACAGCGGCTCCCCGCCACCAAGAAAGCCCAGACCACGCAGCAGAGCAGCTTCTGCACCCGCGCCGAGTCGCATGGCGTCACACCAACATGTCAGGGCTCCCATTAGCCTTCCACAAGCCATTCGCCTGTGACCAAACTGGACTGATTTTAAGGCAAGCACAGCCCTGGGTCACACCGAACCCATGCGGGGACCTGCAGAAGCAGCAAATGCCACCGGCTCTCCATAGAGCAGCCTCCCGAGCGGTGGCAGCAGTCCCGGCCACTGCTGTAACTTGTTTTGGGGTAGGGGGGTGGCCAGGGTCTGGCCACAGTGCTCCATCACTATGGTATGGAGCCCCACGCACAGCCATGCTCCAGCACCACGGGGTTAGGGAAGCCAGCGAGGCCATGGGTGTGTCTGTGTGAAGCCAAGGGAAGAGGAGGAAAAATTAAACAAACAAACAAAAAAGTAATCTTTGGTACAAAATAGTAGTATTGATTTTTAAAAATAAACTTTCCAGATCTCTGTTTTAGAGCAGGGAGACCTTTAAAGCAGTTTCTACTTGCCCAGCACCACTGCAGCCTCACCCAGGGCAGGCAGCAGTGCCCAGGACCAGGCTCAGTGATCAGGATCCAGCCCTGTGCCTGGGACTTGCATTTGGCCACTGCCTCTGGCAGAGCTTGGGACCCTCAAGAGAGGGGTAAGGGAAAGAGAAAGTTTAATAAACCAGGTTTTTACTGAATATGAAGCAATTTCTCTGTCATTGGTGCTAAACCAGATGGACCGTTAGCAGAGGTTTTGGCTACCTGTCACGTTTGGGCTTACCCAAGACCTCGCTTGGCTCATCCCGGTGCCTGGGCAGGGAGAGGCGAGCTCAGGGAGCCCAGGACCAGTGTGAACACCAAGATGGCTCCATGTTAGGGAAGCTGTTGAACCATCACTGCAGCTGTATCCACATCAACCACCTGCCAAAGCCACCAAATTCATCTCTTGAACACCCCTCAGCTCCTACTCCACGTCCCAACTCTCACCAACGCGACTGCCACAGCCACCGAGCTCTCCTGCCAAGGCCGGACTTGCCATTAGCAAACACCATCATCTTGGGGCTCGATCCCCCGTGCCCGGGTAGGGAGATCTGCGTTCAAAATGCAGCTGGATGGGTTGCGCTGAGCTGTGGCTTCATCTGGAATCGCTAAGCAAGCCCCACGCTGGGGCACGATGGAGGGGGGAGTGTGCAAATACGTTTGATCCGTGACTCGCTCGCCAGCATCTAAGGCGGCGAGGAGAAGCCATCTGAGCCCGTGGAAGGAAGCACAAGCTGGAGACGATTCAACAGCAGCCTGAGTGGATCCGATGCGACTCAGGGAACGGCGTCACCCCGCTTTAACGAGGCAGAGAAACGCGGGTGTGAAGAGGGACCAGCAGGTTACAATAACTCATTCGAGCAGAAAACCCTTTTGTCACCACTTGTAAAAGTTCCGCAGAAGCGGCCCCGCTGCTGAGGGCTCTGCAGGCGCAGCCCCCACCACCCCGGGAGCCCCACCGGGCACGACCCG